AGAGTGTTTCATTTTCATTGCTGGATAGTTTCCTGTTGTGTGAATGAACCACACTGTATCTATCCATTCTCCTATCGGTGACCATTTTGGTTGCTTTCAGTTTGGGGCTAGTATGAAAAGTGTGGCTATGAACATTCTTGCACATGTCTTCTGGCACATATATGCCCAAATTCCTCTTGGGGTATATCTAGCAATGGAATTACTGAGTTTTAAGGTATTCTAATGATCAACATTGTAAGATAACAAATAAGTTTCAAAGTTGTAACAATTGATACTCCCTTCAACAACATCACTTTCTATTGGCATTTGTCAGAATGCCTACTCTTTGACAACTGAGTGGTATGAAATGGTGCCTCACTGTGGCCTTGGATATTCATTTCTCAGATTGCTTAATGAGGCTAAGTATCGCTCCATAAGTTTATTAGTCATATCTATTTCCTTTTCTGTAAAACATCTATTCATATATCTTTTACTTGTTTTTTTATATTGTATTTTTCTTATTTATTTGTAGGTGTTCTTTATATATTTGGGCTACTCCCATTACCAGTTATCAATCCTTTTTCTTTTAAGAGTTTTTTTTTGCCCAGTACGTTATCTCATACTTAGCAATTTGTTGCTTTTGTTTTTAACATGTAGAAGCTATCTCCCTAACTGAGCTACTTGAACAGAGCCTCAGCCATCTACTTCTTCTGCATTCACAGAGCACCTAGGAAAGTAATAGGTGATTCTCATTTACTCAGTAGCTTCTAATTGATTATGGTCATTATTTCATTGCTTTATGATTTATATCATACTTGAGTTTTACTACTACAAAAATACAGATCATGCTGGGATGTACAATACATATCATTAGCCTGATATAGTTACAAGTTAAGAGTAAAATAAAAACTTAAAAGGGAAGTTGCCATTTTAAAAGTTTGCAAATCTCAAATGCCCATATTTATTCCTAAAAGCATCATGATGCCACTTTTTCTTTCAAAACTTACAACAACCCAAACAGCCAACTCTATCATCTCTGTAATATTTTGATATTTCAGTCCACTTCTGACTTTAAACAGAGTGAATTAAAATGATAACAACACCAGAAAAAAAAAATGTTGTTCTAAAGACGAAAACTCTAATTTGAAAAGATACATGCATCCCAATGTTCATAGCAGCACTATTCACAATAGTCAAGACATGGATACAACCTAAATATCCATCAACAGATGAATGTGTGTGTGTGTGTGTGTGTGTGTGTGTGTGTATATACATATATATATATAAAATGAAATATTACTCATCCATAAAAACATGAAATAATGCCATTTGCAGCAATATGATGGACCTAGAGATTGTCATACTAAGCGAAGTAAGTCCGACAGAGAAAGACAACTGTCATATATGTGGAATCTAAAATATTGATACAAATGAACTTATTTACAAAACAGAAATAGACTCACAGACAGAAAACAAACTTATGGTTACCAAAGGGGTAAGGGGGAAAGGGGTAAATTAGGAATTTGGGGTAAACAGATACACACTGCTATACATAAAATAGATATAGAACAAGGACCTACTGTATAGCACAGGGAACTATATTCAATATCTTATAATAACCTATAATGGAAAAGAATCTGAAAAAGAATAGATATGTATCTAACTGAATCACTTTGCTGTACACCTGAAACATTGTAAATCAACTATACTTAAATAAAAAAAGCAGAAAGAAAGAAAAAAATGTTATTCTATGTAATAGATATATACACATGGTTTAGATTCTGAGGCTTAGAATTCAACTGAGCAAGCCTCAAGAAGGTAAGCTAAAAGAACACCATGGAAGAAATAAATAAAAAGGCTTTTCACCTGACTCACTGAGAGTAAAGGGTAAGGAGTATGTGGGAAATGCTGATAGGGAAGGTTTGGCTTTCTTGCTTTTTTTGTGTGTTTGTTCTTGTTTTTAAATGACTCAACCAAAAGTTAAAGTAATTAGGAGACATTAGTTTATCTTTCTCTTAAAGATCCAGTAATAGAGAAACTCCTTATTCTATTTATTTTTTATTTTTGCGGTACACGGGCCTCTCACTTTGTAGCCTCTCCCACTGCGGAGCACAGGCTCTGGACACACAGGCTCAGCGGCCATGGCTCAAAGGCCCAGCCGCTCCGCGGCATGTGGGATCTTCCCGGACTGGGGCACGAACCCGTGTCCCCTGCATTGGCAGGCGGACTCTCAATCACTGTGCCACCAGCAAAGCCCGAAACTCCTTATTTTAATCATCTATCAAAATGCGGTTTTGACTAAGTACCACCTGCATGTGTGCTCATAGAGCAACATTGGCTGAGATGCTATGAAAGATACAAAAAAAGTGCCAATATAAGCCTGACTTCCAAGAGTTGGTAATCTAGCCACAATTTACATGGAATTACTGAACTCATTGCATGTATTTATTCCTCCGCCCAAAAAAAAAAAAAAGTTTACTGTTTACCACTCTGAGAGAAGCACTGTCATAGGCTCTGAGAGTACTTAAAAAAGGACAGTCCAGATCCTGACCCACAACTTGCCCTCGACCTACTGGGGGAGATGATCAGGATCTATTAGGTCAAGAGCTTGAATGCAGGGGTGCACAGGATGCTGTGGAAGCATGAGAGATGGAGTCAGGGAAAACTTCCTGGAGGAGGGGGCACTGAGTTGAGAAATATAAGAATCAACCTGTTGGGTAAAAGGATGTGCAAACTGCATGTGCAAGAGCCTGAAGGAGAGGAGAGGAAGATGAAAGTGTAGGAGAGGATAGAGATGGTGTTAGAGTATCCCTCCTACTCTGAGAAACTGTGAAAAGCCCCAAGAGGTTGGCAAAAGATGCACTGTTACAAAGACAGGGTGTGGAATTTGGACTTTATCTTCAAATGGGAAGCCACAGAGAGGTTTTAGAGGATAGTAACATGATCAGATTTTGCTTTGGAAAAATCCCTCTGGCCTCAGTGTGGAAGATGGATTGGAGGAGACAAGAGCGAAAGTGGTGAAACTAAGTGAGAGCCGTTGTGGTCAAGCTGTTGGTGATGTAAACTAGGGAGAATGAGGGGGATGGGAAGAAGTGGATGGATGTGGAGATAATAAGGAGGTGACTAATTGGATGGAGGAGATGCTTTGACAGAACAGGATATCAAGAATAACTCTGGACTTCTCCTTATCTAAATAAAGACAAATGGAAATTTGCTTGCCTAGACAAGGGTTATCTTGAGATCTTCCAGCCACAGAAATGCCAGAACTTGGTCTCCATGCCCAGATTCCTGCCGCCTCCAACTTTCTAAATGACGGGTATCACCTCTGGGATCCGTGAGGGGGCCAAGGTTAGTCCCCATTCCTTCACTCCGCATACCTCCTCAGCCAGAAGGCTTGAGCTGCAGAGCCCTTGGCTTCCCAGTGTTCAAGAGGCTTGAGCTCCCCAATTTTTACTCCCCACTTTCCTTCTACTATATGCCAGTAAAGGCCAAACATACTTTTCCCCAAGACTTCAACTAACTAACCTGTCAGAGGAACAAAACACACTTACATGATACCCTTAATTTTGATAGGAAAAACATGGAACAACTTTCTGAGCTGAGTGGCTCACATAATTTTAAGGACATTCCATACAGATCTATGAGAAATAAAATGTTTACATACCTCTTCGAGGATCATATTATGTTCACACATGATCCCAATTTTATACAACAAAAATTCACAGATGGGACCCCCAGGTCCTAATCCAATGACTCACAGCTAGAGAATATTTTTTGAAAAACCAACAAAACCTTACTAAAGTGAACTGGAGTAACTCACACAAGTGGCTAAAAGGATGCAGAACACTGCATTGCACACTCACGTTATGAGAGGAAAGGACAGAATGCAAGAGAGAAGACAGGGTCTGGAGGATGTAAGTTGCCAGTGAGTATCCAGGAGGGATCTAAAGCCAGGTAGCTCTCCGAGCACTTACTGGTCACATGGAACGATGCAGAGAAAGAACAGACAGGCCCCTGTGTGTTTAGGAAGGTGTAGGACATAATGATGGGAAGCTAGCAGGGCTAACTCCGAAACAGCAAAAATAGCAAAGTGCCAATGGGTCCTTGGAGGCCCATTTAGGTACCTTTTGATCTCAACCCAGGGCCCCCACAATAGGAAATCAAATACATTGTAAGGGAAAATGCCTCACCTGTTTTTGGAAGAGGGTAACTAATATTAAATAAATCCTCCAGAAAAGAGAAGATGGGACCTGTGATGTTCAAAGCAAAGTCTGCATTTCCAGCTGCAATGGCTTCTTTCCGGGCCCAGATGCGTATCTAAACAGAAACAATTAAGCAGTGATTAGGAAAAGCAGTAGTGATTTTTGGAAAGTGGCAGCCTGCTTGCTCCAGTTCCCTGATGCTCTGAAGCCAAAGGCTTACCTTTTCAGAGGAAGCTGCATAATAAAACGTTTGAATGTGTCCACATGATGAGAAAAGCCCAGAAGGCTATTCACTAAGTTGAGAACAGTGGTTCCACAGAAAGTGTGTTATTTCACTCTTTTGCAATAACATGTAAAATTTTGTAGTTCAAAAATAATCCTGGGAGAGACGAGGGGAAGATGGCGGAAGAGTAAGACGCGGAGGTCACCTTCCTCCCCACTGATACACCAGAAATACATCTACACGTGGAACAACTCCTACAGAACACCTACTGAATGCTGGCTGAAGACCTCAGACCTCCCAAAAGGCAAGAAACTCCCCACGTACCTGGGTAGGGCAAAAGAAAAAAGAATAAACAGAGACAAAAGGATAGGGACGGGACCTGCACCAGTGGGAGGGAGCTGTGAAGTAGGAAAGGTTTCCACACACTAGGAATCCCCTTCCTGGGTGGAGGCTGCGGGTGGCGGAGGTGGAGCCGCGTAGGAAAGCACAGCAACAGGGATGCGGAGGGCAAAGCAGAGAGATTCCTGCACAGAGGATCGGGGCTGACCGGCACGCACCAGCCCGAGAGGCTTGTCTGCTCACCCGCCAGGGCGGGTGAGGCTGGGAGCTGAGGATCGGGCTTCCGTCGGAGCGCAGGGAGAGGACTGGGGCTAGCGGTGTGAACACAGCCTGCAGGGGGTTAGTGCACCACAGCTAGACGAGAGGGAGTCCGGGGAAAAGTCTGGACCTGCCTAAGAGGCAAAAGACTTTTTCTTCCCTCTTTGTTTCCTGGTGCGTGAGGAGAGGGGATTAAGAGCGCTGCTTAAAGGAACTCCAGAGATTGGCGCGAGGCTAAAAGCGCGGACCCCAGAGACGGGCATGAGAGGCTAAGGCTGCTGCTGCTGCCGCAAAGAAGCCCGTGTGTGAGCACAGGTCACTGTCCACACCCCGCTTCCGGGGAGCCTGTGCAGCCCGCCACTGCCAGGGTCCCGGCATCCAGGGAAAACTTCCCCGGTAGAACGCACGGCGGGCCTCAGGCTGGTGCAACGTCATGCCAGCCTCTGCCGCGGCAGGCTCGCCCCGCACTCCGTGCCCCTCCCTCCCCACGGCCTGAGTGACCCAGAGCCCCTGAAGCAGCTGCTCCTTTAACCCCGTCCTGTCTGATCGAAGAACAGACGCCCTCCGGCGACCTACATGCAGAGGAGGGGCCAAATCCAAAGCTGAGCCTGTGGGAGCTGTGAGAACAAAGAAGAGAAAGGGAAATCTCTCCCAGCAGCCTCAGAAACAGCGGATTAAAGCTCCACAATCAACTTGATGTACCCTGCATCTGTGGAATACATGAATACACAACGAACCATCCCAGATTGAGGAGGTGGACTTTGAGAGCAAGATTTATGATTTTTCCCCCTTTTCCTCTTTTTGTGAGTGTGAATGCTTCTGTGTGAGATTTTGTCTGTATAGCTTTGCTTCCACCATTTGTCCTAGGGTTCTATCTGTCCGTTTTTTAAAAAATTATTTTTTCTTAATAATAATAATAATTATTATTATTTTTGCTGTAGGCGGGCCTCTCACTGTTGTGGTCTCTCCCGTTGCAGAGCACAGGCTCTGGACGTGCAGGCTCAGCAGCCATGGCTCACGGGCCCAGCCGCTGCGCGGCATGTGGGATTTCCCGGACCGGGGCACAAACCCACATCCCCTGCATCAGCAGGCGGACTCCTATCCACTGCGCCACCAGGGAAGCCCCTTATTTTTTATTTTAATAAATTTATTATATTTTATCTTACTTTATTTTATTTTACTTTATCTTCTTTCTTTCTTTCTTTTTTTCCTTCCTTCCCTCCCTCCTTCCTTCCTCCCTCCCTCCCTCCCTTCTTTCTTTCTTTCTTTGTTTCTACTTCTACTAATTCTCTCTTTCTACTTTTTCTCCCTTTTATTCTGAGCCGTGTGGATGAAAGGCTCTTGGTGCTGCAGCCAGGAGTCACTGCTGTGCCTATGAGGTGGGAGAGCCAACTTCAGGACACTGGTCCACAAGACACCTCCCAGCTCCACGAAATATCAAACGGTGAAAATCTCCCAGAGATCTCCATCTCAACACCAGCACCCAGCTTCACTCAACGACCAGCAAGCTACAGTGCTGGACACCCTATGCCAAACAACTAGCAAGACAGGAACACAACCCCACCCATGAGCAGAAAGGCTGCCTAAAATCATAATAAGTCCACAGACACCCCAAAACACACCACCAGACGTGGACCTGCCCACCAGAAAGACAAGATTCAGCCTCATCCAGCAGAACACAGGCACTAGTCCCTTCCACCAGGAAGCCTACACAACCCACTGAACCAACCTTAGCCACTGGGGACAGACACCACAAACAATGGGAACTATGAACCTGCAGCCTGCAAAAAGGAGACCCCAAACACAGTAAGATAAGCCAAATAAGAAGACAGAAAAACACACAGCAGATGAAGGAGCAAGATAAAAACCCACCAGACCTAACAAATGAAGAGGAAATAGGCAGTCTACCTGAAAAAGAATTCAGAATAATGATAGTAAAGATGATCCAAAATCTTGGAAATAGAATAGACAAAATGCAAGAAACATTTAACAAGGACCTAGAAGAACTAAAGATGAAACAAACAAAGATGAACAACACAATAAATGAAATGAAAAATACTCTAGATGGGATCAATAGCAGAATAACTGAGGCAGAAGAACGGATAAGTGACCTGGAAGATAAAATAGTGGAAATAACTACTGCAGAGCAGAATAAAGAAAAAAGAATGAAAAGAACTGAGGACAGTCTCAGAGACCTCTGGGACAACATTAAACGCACCAACATTCGAATTATAGGGGTTCCAGAAGAAGAAGAGAAAAAGAAAGGGACTGAGAAAATATTTGAAGAGATTATAGTTGAAAACTTCCCTAATATGGGAAAGGAAATAGTTAATCAAGTCCAGGAAGCACAGAGAGTCCCATACAGGATAAATTCAAGGAGAAATACGCCAAGACACATATTAATCAAACTGTCAAAAACTAAATACAAAGAAAGCATATTAAAAGCAGCAAGGGAAAAACAACAAATAACACACAAGGGAATCCCCATAAGGTTAACAGCTGATCTCTCAGCAGAAACTCTACAAGCCAGAAGGGAGTGGCAGGACATACTGAAAGTGATGAAGGAGAAAAACCTGCAACCAAGATTACTCTACCCAGCAAGGATCTCATTCAGATTTGATGGAGAAATTAAAACCTTTACAGACAAGCAAAAGCTGAGAGAGTTCAGCACCACCAAACCAGCTTTACAACAAATGCTAAAGGAACTTCTCTAGACAAAAACACAAGAGAAGGAAAAGTCCTATAATAACGAACCCAAAACAATTTAGAAAATGGGAATAGGAACATACATATCGATAATTACCTTAAATGTAAATGGACTAAATGCTCCCACCAAAAGACACAGATTGGCTGAATGGATACAAAAACAAGACCCATATATATGCTGTCTACAAGAGACCCACTTCAGACCTAGAGACACATACAGACTGAAAGTAAGGGGATGGAAAAAGATATTCCATGCAAATGGAAACCAAAAGAAAGCTGGAGTAGCAATTCTCATATCAGACAAAATAGACTTTAAAATAAGGACTATCAGAAGAGACAAAGAAGGACACTACATAATGATTAAGGGATCGATCCAAGAAGAAGATATAACAATTGTAAATATTTATGCACCCAACATAGGAGCACCTCAATACATAAGGCAAAAACTAGCAGCCATAAAAGGGGAAATCGACAGTAACACATTCATAGTAGGGGACTTCAACACCCCACTTTCACCAATGGACAGATCATCCAAAATGAAAATAAATAAGGAAACACAAGCTTTAAATGATACATTAAACAGGATGGACTTAATTGATATTTATAGGACACTCCATCCAAAAACAACAGAATACACATTTTTCTCAAGTGCTCATGGAACATTCTCCAGGATAGATCATATCTTGGGTCACAAATCAAGCCTTGGTAAATTTAAGAAAATTGAAATTGTATCAAGTATCTTTTCCGACCACAACGCCATGAGACTAGATATCAATTATAGGAAAAGAGCTGTAAAAAATACAAACACATGGAGGCTAAACAATACACTACTTAATAACGAAGTGATCACTGAAGAAATCAAAGAGGAAATTAAAAAATACCTAGAAACAAATGACAATGGAGATACAACGACCCAAAACCTATGGGATGCAGCAAAAGCAGTTCTAAGAGGGAAGTTTATAGCAATACAAGCCCACCTTAAGAAGCAGGAAACATCTCGAATAAACAACCTAACCTTGCACCTCAAGCAATTAGAGAAAGAAGAACAAAAAAACCCCAGAGTTAGCAGAAGGAAAGAAATCATAAAAATCAGATCAGAAATAAATGAAAAAGAAATGAAGGAAACAATAGCAAAGATCAATAAAACTAAAAGCTGGTTCTTTGAGAAGATAAACAAAATAGATAAACCATTAGCCAGACTCATCAAGAAAAAAAGGGAGAAGACTCAAATCAATAGAATCAGAAATGAAAAAGGAGAAGTAACAACTGACACTGCAGAAATACAAAAAATCATGAGGGATTACTACAAGCAACTCTATGCCAATAAAATGGACAATCTGGAAGAAATGGACAAATTCTTAGAAATGCACAAACTGCCAAGACTGAATCAGGAAGAAATAGAAAATATGAACAGACCAATCACAAACACTGAAATTGAAACTGTGATTAAAAATCTTCCAACAAACAAAAGCCCAGGACCAGATGGCTTCACAGGCGAATTCTATCAAACATTTAGAGAAGAGCTAACACCTATCCTTCTCAAACTCTTCCAAAATATAGCAGAGGGAGGAACACTCCCAAACTCATTC